CAGAAAATAGTTTAATTTAGAATCCTGGCTTTGGGAGTCAGGGGTGTGAGTTAAAATCTCTCTTTTCTGGTAATTTAGCGCTAGGGAGGGGTCTAACCTCCGATCTTCGGATTACAAGACCGATGCTTTAAAACTAAGCTACTAGGGCAGCTTCATTGGAGTGCCTTATTCTCTAAAATCCCTGTAATTGGGAATAAGACTAAGAATAGTGAAAAATATAAGATTGATGCTATTTGTCCAATGATGATGTAGGGGTGTTCTACTGGTATCCCTCCAATTCATGTTAGTACAAGCATGTCTGCTACCAGTGTTCAGAACAGAAATTGGGTAACTGGGCGGAATGCTATTCCTCGCTGTTTAGAAGTGTGTAAAATTGGTACTACTATTAATACTAAAATGGAAAATAAGAGAGCTAGTACACCTCCTAGTTTGTTTGGGATAGATCGTAGAATGGCGTATGCGAATAGGAAATATCATTCTGGTTTAATGTGAGGAGGTGTTACTAGAGGGTTAGCAGGGGTGAAATTTTCTGGATCTCCTAAGAGGTTTGGTGAGAATAGTGCTAATAGTGAGAGGGAAAATAATATAATTACAAAACCAAGGAGGTCTTTATTTGAAAAATAAGGATGAAAGGGGATTTTATCCATGTTGGGGTTTAGGCCAAGGGGGTTATTTGATCCGGTTTCGTGGAGAAATAGCAAGTGTAGAATAACTATGGCGATGATAATAAATGGTAATAAAAAGTGGAATGCGAAGAATCGTGTAAGGGTTGCATTGTCTACTGAGAATCCCCCTCAGATTCATTGCACTAGGGTATCTCCCACGTAAGGAACGGCCGATAATAGGTTAGTAATTACTGTGGCCCCTCAGAATGATATTTGGCCCCATGGAAGGACGTAGCCCACAAAAGCTGTTATTATTACAAGTAAGAACAGGACTACTCCGATGTTTCAAGTTTCATTATAAAGATAAGATCCGTAATATAGTCCTCGGGCGATGTGAATATACAGGCAGATGAAGAAGAAGGAAGCCCCATTGGCATGGATGCTCCGAATAAGTCAGCCGAAATTTACATCTCGGCAAATATGCACAACAGATGAAAATGCTGTTGAGATGTCTGAGGTGTAGTGTATTGCTAAAAATAGTCCTGTTAAAATTTGTGTAATAAGACATAATCCAAGGAGAGATCCAAAATTTCATCACGCTGAAATATTTAGTGGCGTTGGCAAATCAACTAATGCGTCATTAGCGATTTTTAAAACTGGGTGTGTTTTTCGCAGGCTTGTCATTAAGCAGTTCTTGTAGTTGAACTACAACAGTGGTTTTTCGAGTCACCGGTCTCAGTTAAAGTCTGAGTAAGAATTATGGCATTTTATTTGTCTTTTTTGATGGCAGCTCTAGTTGGGGGTATGATTGCTATTGCTTCTAATCCGGCTCCTTATTTTGCTGCATTTGGTTTAGTAGTTGTGGCAGGGGTTGGATGTGGAATTTTAGTTAGTTATGGGGGTTCATTTTTGTCTCTAATTCTTTTTTTGATTTATTTAGGTGGGATGCTTGTAGTGTTTGCTTATTCAGCGGCCCTAGCAGCCGAGCCTTTTCCTGAAGCGTGGGGTGACCGTGTGGTGTTTTGACGTGTTATGGTTTATGGTCTGGTTGTAATTGTGGCGGCTGGGTTTTTATTAACTGGTGACACTGGTTTATTAATATCGGTTGATGCTTTTAAAGAGTTTTCTGTTATTCGAGCTGATGTAAGCGGGGTTGCAATAATATATTCGTCAGGTGGAAAAATATTAGTGATTTGTGCTTGGGTATTGCTTCTGACTTTGTTTGTTGTACTAGAGGTTACTCGAGGTCTTAGTTATGGTGTGCTTCGTGCTATTTAAGTGTATAGTTTCAGTATTATTATTTTAAGAATAATAGAGGTAAGGAAGACGGCTAGGTAAGACTTGATTGACGCTATTCGATGGTCCTTAACAAAGGTGGCCACTGTTATTAATGTAAATGCAATTCCGCATGGTCCGAATAGTTCGCTTCATGATTTTTCAATTTTAGTGGCTGCTGACTCCCCTATAAATAATTTTCGTATAGGGATTAGTCGGTGAAGGATTGGAAAGAAGATTAGTGAAATTGAAAAGTGGAATGGAATTCCTGGGGTAGTGTTTTTGTTAATTTTATTAGCTAGCGTACTAATTTCTAGTCCTAAGATAATACCTAGTAGAGTTACTAGAATGGCTGCCAATTTTAGATAAATAGGCATGGTTAAAATGGGTGTTTTAAGAGGAATTATAGTGTATGAGATGATTAATCCTGCAATAATGCTTCCTCAGGCAAGCCGTTGAATAGTATTGGTTGGAATGTGGTTTTCATCAATTGTCTCGTAGGTCTTGTGTCGGGGGCTTCCTAAACAGACTAAGTAAATTATTCGGAAGCTATAAACTGCGGTAAATGATGTGGCGATTAATGTTAGTGTTAGGGCTCAGGCGTTAAGATGGGAGGTGGTTATTGCTTCTAGGATAGCGTCTTTTGAGAAAAATCCTGCAAGGAAGGGGGTACCCATAAGGGCTATTTTCCCGATGGTCAAATAGTTTGTGGTTATTGGTAGGGTGTGGTAAGTTCCCCCTATTTTACGGATGTCTTGTTCGTTGTTAAGACTGTGAATAATTGCCCCTGAGCATAAGAATAATATGGCTTTAAAAAAAGCGTGAGTGCAGATGTGGAAAAATGCTAGATGTGGTTGGTTTAGGCCAATTGCTACTATCATTAGCCCTAGTTGGCTTGATGTTGAGAAAGCTACGATTTTTTTGATATCATTTTGGGTTAGAGCACAGGTTGCTGCAAATAGAGTTGTTAATGCTCCAAGGCATAGACAGATTGTTGGTGCAAGCTTGTTAGTTTCTATAATTGGGTGAAGACGGATTAAAAGGAAAATCCCTGCTACAACCATAGTGCTAGAGTGAAGTAAAGCAGATACTGGTGTAGGGCCTTCTATGGCTGATGGTAGTCAGGGGTGAAGTGTAAATTGGGCTGATTTCCCTGTGGCTGCAATAATAAGTCCAATTTGGGGAATGGTCATGTCGAAGTCTTTTGAAAGAATGAAAATTTGCTGAATGTCTCAGGAGTTGAGGTATATTGCTATTCATGCTAAGGTTAAGATAAATCCAATGTCTCCTATTCGGTTGTAGATTACGGCCTGTAGAGATGCTGTGTTAGCCTCTGTCCGCCCAAATCATCAGCCAATGAGTAAAAATGATATGATTCCTACCCCTTCTCAGCCAATAAATAGTTGAAATAGATTGTTGGCTGTAACTAAGATAATTATTGATATAAGAAAAAGAAGTAAATATTTGTAAAATAATTCTTTTTGTGGATAAGAGGCTATATATCATGATGCAAATTCTAAAATTGACCAGGTGATGAATAAGGCGATTGAGGTAAAAGTCACAGAATAGTAGTCAAATTTAAAACTTAGGTCTACGTTAAACGCTTGTGTATTTATTCAGCTTCAGCATATTACAACATGGTCTGATTCTTTGTACAGCATCATTGTAAGTGGGATAAGACTAATTAAGAAAGATACATGGACAGCATTTCAAGCTTGGAAAGAGTTGTTGGATTTTGAATAGCTTTTTGGTTTTAATAAGGGGTATGATAAAACTGCGAAAATTAGGATTAATGTTAAAGGTATGATCATATCAGTCATAAACTTCTACTTGGAGTTGCACCAAGAGTTTTTGGTTCCTAAGACCAATGGATGTACTATTATCCTTTAGAAGCGGTAAGGAAGCCATGGAGTTTAACCATGGTTGGTAAATATTAGCAGCATTTACTGTTTTCCTACTCTTCCTCGGTGAGTGAGGGGGCTTTAACCCCTATCTTTAGAGTCACGATCTAAAATTTTACTTTAAACTAAACTTACTAGTTACATCAACCTCACATAAGTTCTGGTTTTAATATAAGTAAGATGATAGGAATTAGGTGTAAAGTCATTAAGAGATGTTCTCGGGTGTGGGATGGTGAAAGATTGGTGATGTGTTCTGGGATTGAGCCTCGTTGAGATGTTAAAAATATATAAAGTGAATAATTTGCTGTAATTAAGGTTCCTATTCCTGTAATAATAATTGTTCATGGAGATCAGTTAAATAGGGCTGTGATAATCATAAGTTCTCCTATCAAGTTTGGTAGAGGTGGAAGTGCTAGGTTGGCCAGATTAGCAATAAATCACCATACTGTTGCTAGCGGTAGCACTATCTGGAGTCCTCGAGCGAGGATTATGGTCCGGCTATGAGTTCGTTCATACGATGTGTTAGCTAAGCAAAATAGGGCGGATGAGGTTAGTCCGTGGGCGATTATTAAAATAATTGCTCCTGTAAATCCTCAGGGGGTTTGAATCAAAATTCCTCCTGCAACTAGTCCCATATGGCCTACTGATGAATAGGCAATTAGCGATTTTAAGTCTGTTTGTCGTAGACAAACTAATCCTGTTATGATTACTCCTCATAGAGCAAGGATAATAAACGGGTATGCTAGTTGCTTAGATAAAGGATCTAATATTACTATTATTCGTATCATACCGTAGCCTCCTAGTTTTAGTAGCACTGCCGCTAGAATTATAGATCCTGCTACAGGGGCTTCTACATGTGCTTTTGGTAATCAAAGGTGTATCCCATATAGCGGTATTTTTACTAGGAATGCAATTAAGCAGCCGGCTCATCAGATTTTATGTCCTCAAGAGTTAAGTAAAAGTGGGTCTGAGTACTGAAGTACTAGTATTGATAGGGTTCCTGTTGATTGTTGCAGTAATAGGAGGGCTACTAAAAGAGGTAGAGAGCCTGCTAATGTATAGAAAAGAAAGTAAGTACCTGCGTTAAGGCGCTCAGCTTGATTACCTCATCGGGTAATAATGATTAGTGTTGGGATAAGTGTAGCTTCGAATATAATGTAGAATATAATGATTTTTGTAGCGCCAAACGCCATAATTATGAAAGTTTGTAAAGAGGCAAGAAGTGTAATGTATATTCGTTGTCGGTTTACAGGCTCCGAGTTGATGTGATTTTGGCTAGCTAGAATCATTAATGGAAGAAGTCAACAGGTTAGTACTAGAAGAGGTGTTGATAGTGGGTCTGCAGCTATGTACGAGTTAGAAGCATTTCACCCTGTATCCGAGGTTCATTTTAGTCATGTTAAGCTAATAAAGGCAATTAAAAAGCTGTTTATTGTTGTAGTTGTTCACAGTCATTTTGATGAAGATAATCAGATTGTAGGGAATAGCATAATAGTGGGGATCAGTACTTTTAGCATTGTAGTAGATTAAGGTTTTTTATGTGGTCAGATCCGTGGGTTCGAGCTGTGGCTACTAGGAGTGCTAGGCCGGCACTTGCTTCACAGGCAGAAAAGGCTAGTAGTAGTATAGGGGCTGTGGATAAACTTATTGACTCTGTTTTTAAAGTTCAAAGGGCTATGGAAATAAATAAAGATAATATTATGCCTTCTAAACATAATAATGCTGATAGGAGGTGAACACGGTGAAATGTAAGTCCTGCTAAGCCTAGTATAAATGCTGCGTTAAGACTAAAGTGCGTGGGTGTCATAAGGGAGTTACGGGTTTACACCGCAATTATTTGAGCCGAAATCAAGGGTCTTTCTTTGGACTAGCTCCCTACTCTGCTCATTCAAGGCCGCCTTGGGCTCATTCGTAGGCTAGTCCTAGTGTTAGCAAAATCAGTACTGTTATAGCTCAAAAGAGAGTTTCTATTGGGTTATTAAGTTGATCTCCTCATGGGAGTGGTAATAGGAGAGCAATTTCCAAGTCAAATAAAGGGAATAAAACTGCTACTAAGAAAAATCGTAATGAAAATGGTAGGCGGGCGGACCCTAGTGGATCAAATCCGCATTCATATGGTGATAGCTTTTCTGTATCAGAGTTCATTTGTGGTAGTCAAAATGATACTAGAGCTAAGACCAATGATAAGGTCGTTATAATAATAAGAATAGTTGCAAATAAATTCATTACCTTTCCCTGGATTTTTCACCAAGACCAAATGATTGGAAGTCATTTATACTGGTTATACTAGAAAGGCTATGAGCCTCATCAATAGATTGATACGTAGAGGAATAGTCAGACTACGTCGACGAAGTGTCAATATCAAGCGGCAGCTTCAAAACCAAAGTGGTGGTCTGATGTGAAGTGAAATAAAACTTGGCGTAGAAGGCATACAGCTAAAAAGGTTGATCCAATAATAACGTGTAGACCATGAAACCCTGTAGCTACAAAGAATGTTGAGCCATATACTCCGTCTGCAATTGTAAATGGGGCTTCATAGTATTCTATAGCCTGAAGTGCTGTGAAGTACAATCCTAGTAGAATTGTAAGAGCAAGAGATTGAATGGCTTGTTTTCGTTCTCCTTCCATGAGGCTGTGATGTGCTCATGTTACTGTTACTCCGGATGCTAGCAAAACAGCTGTATTGAGGAGCGGCACTTCAAATGGGTCAAGAGTTGTTAGCCCTGTGGGTGGTCAACATCCCCCTAGTTCAGGGGTGGGGGCTAAACTTGAATGATAAAAAGCTCAGAAAAATCCTAGGAAAAAAAATACCTCTGAGGTAATAAATAGGATTATACCGTACCGCAACCCTTTTTGTACGGGCGGGGTATGGTGGCCTTGAAAGGTCCCTTCTCGAATAATGTCTCGTCATCATTGGATTATAGTTAAAATAAGAAGAATTATTCCTAGAACAATTAATGTCATTGAGTGAAGGTGAAACCAAATTGCTAAGCCAGATGATATTAATAGGGCGGCTACAGCTCCAGTTAGTGGTCATGGGCTTGGGTCAACTATGTGATATGCATGTGCTTGGTGGGCCATTAAATGTTTTCTTGCAGATATAGGCTTAAAAGAAGAATAAAGACGTAGGCTTGGATTATTGCTACTGCAACTTCTAGCAGGGTAAGTAAGAAAAGGACGGAGGCAGTTAAAATTGCTACTGCTGGTATTATTGGTAGTAGAACAAATACTGCTGTGGCAATAAGTTGAATTAGTAGGTGGCCTGCTGTGAGGTTTGCAGTAAGTCGTACCCCTAAAGCTAATGGTCGAATAAATAAGCTAATTGTTTCGATAATAATAAGGGCCGGAATTAATGGGATGGGGGTTCCTTCTGGTAAAAGATGTCCTAGGGCAATAGTCGGTTGATTTTTTATTCCGATAATTACTGTGGCAAGTCATAGGGGTACTGCAAATCCTATATTCAGAGAGAGTTGGGTTGTTGGTGTAAAAGTATAAGGAAGAAGTCCTAAAAGATTAATTGTGATTAAGAATACTATTAGAGAGGCAAATAAAAGTGCTCATTTGTGGCCGCTAAAGTTTAGTGGGGTCATAAGTTGGTTTGTGAATCGTCCAGTCAATCATGTTTGGACGGTGATAAGTCGATTGTTGATTCATCGTGATGTTGGAGCAGGAAAAAGAAGTCAAGGTAGAAGTATGGCAACGAGGATAAGGGGGATACCTAAAAGGTAGGGGCTCGCGAATTGATCGAAGAAGCTTGTTATCATGGTCAGTTTCAAGTGTCATTTTTGTGCTCTTTAGCATCAACTTGAGTTGGGTCATTAGGTTGAATGTGATTAATGATTTTGGTTGGAATAATAGTAAGGAAAATGACTCATGAGAAAAAAAGGATTATAAATCAGGGTTTTGGATTAAGCTGAGGCATTCACTAAGGGTGGTCGGTAAGCACCAAGTTTTGACTTAAAAGGTCAACGCTATCCAATTTTAGCATCTTAGTGAGGCGTCTTCTAGTATAGCTGAAGATCAGTTTTCAAAGAATTCAAGTGGGACGGCTTCGACTACAATGGGCATAAAGCTGTGGTTAGCCCCGCAGATTTCAGAGCATTGTCCGTAGAATACACCTGGACGTGAAACAATAAAAGCGGTTTGGTTTAATCGTCCGGGTACCGCGTCTATTTTAATGCCTAATGATGGAACAGCTCAAGAGTGCAGTACGTCTTCAGCTGAAACTAAAATTCGAATTGGTGATTCTTTGGGAACTACTATTCGATGGTCTGTTTCAAGAAGCCGAAAGCCCCCTGGTGTGAGGTCTTGGGTTGGTACTATATAAGAGTCAAATTCTAGGTTTTCGTAGTCTGTATATTCGTAGCTTCAGTACCATTGATGTCCTACGGCTTTAATAGTAACGTGGGGGTCATTAATTTCATCTATAAGGTATAAAATTCGAAGTGATGGTAAAGCAATCAAAATAAGAATGATGGCCGGAAGGACTGTTCATACGATTTCGATTTCTTGGGAATCTAGAATAAATTTATTCGTTAGTTTGGTTGACACTATTGCGATGATAATGTATAGAACTAAGGTGCTGATTAAAAATACAATTATTAAAGCATGGTCGTGAAAACATAAAAGTTCTTCTATTACAGGTGATGCTGCGTCTTGGAATCCTAGTTGTGCAGGGTGTGCCATTAGAATTTAGGTTAAGACATACAAGGTTTTAACTTGTAATTTCACCTTGACAAAGTGGTGTAATGTTTTTGCTAATGTCTTATAAGAAAGTGGCAGAGTGGTTATGCGGCTGGCTTGAAACTAGCACACGGGGGTTCAATTCCCTCCTTTCTCGTTAATTTGATTGAATTTGAACGAATGCTGGCTCCTCAAATGTGTGGTAGGGGGGAGGGCAGCCGTGTAATCATTCTACATTTGTTGCGGTCAATTCAACTGACAGAACTTCTCGTTTGGCGGTAAAGGCTTCTCATAAGATAAATAAGAACATGATTACTGCTACTAAAGAAATTAGTGACCCAATAGAAGATACTGTATTTCAGAGTGCATAGGCGTCTGGGTAGTCAGAGTACCGTCGTGGTATTCCTGCTAAACCTAGGAAATGTTGTGGGAAGAATGTGAGATTTACTCCGATAAATATAACCCCGAAATGGATTTTTGTTCATACACTGTTTAGGGTGTAGCCTGTAAATAGTGGGAATCAGTGAACAAAGCCTGCTATAATAGCGAATACAGCTCCTATTGAAAGAACATAGTGAAAGTGTGCTACTACGTAGTATGTGTCATGTAGTACGATGTCTAATGATGAGTTGGCTAAAACGATTCCGGTTAACCCTCCTACTGTAAATAAGAAAATAAATCCTAGTGCCCATAGTATAGGGGTTTCTCATTTAATAGCTCCTCCGTGGAGAGTGGCTAATCAGCTAAATACTTTTACACCAGTTGGAATAGCAATAATCATTGTGGCGGATGTGAAGTATGCTCGGGTGTCTACATCCATTCCTACAGTGAATATGTGATGGGCTCATACAATAAAACCTAAGAGACCAATAGCCATTATAGCTCATACTATTCCTATATACCCGAATGGTTCTTTTTTCCCTGCGTAGTATGCTACAACATGGGAGATAATGCCGAATCCTGGTAAAATAAGAATGTAGACTTCTGGGTGGCCAAAGAATCAAAATAAGTGTTGATAAAGAATTGGATCTCCCCCTCCTGCCGGGTCAAAGAACGTTGTGTTAAGATTTCGGTCTGTAAGAAGTATTGTAATTCCGGCAGCTAACACTGGTAAAGATAAAAGAAGTAGTACAGCTGTAACTAAGACAGCTCATACAAATAATGGAGTTTGATACTGAGAGATAGTTGGTGGCTTCATGTTAATTGTAGTAGTAATAAAATTAATTGCTCCAAGAATAGATGAAACACCTGCTAAGTGTAGTGAAAAAATTGTTAGATCAACAGATGCTCCTGCATGGGCAAGGTTGCCTGCAAGAGGTGGATAAACTGTTCATCCTGTTCCAGCTCCTGCTTCAACTCCAGAAGAAGCTAATAGAAGAAGAAATGAGGGTGGAAGAAGTCAGAAGCTTATATTATTTATTCGGGGAAATGCCATATCGGGGGCCCCAATCATTAGTGGCACAAGTCAGTTTCCAAATCCCCCAATAAGAATGGGTATTACTATAAAGAAAATTATTACAAAAGCATGGGCAGTAACAATAACATTATAGATTTGATCATCACCAAGAAGTGCTCCTGGTTGGCTAAGTTCAGCTCGGATTAAGAGGCTTAATGCGGTCCCTACTATTCCGGCTCAAGCACCAAATACTAGATACAGGGTGCCAATGTCTTTATGATTAGTTGAGAAAAATCAACGTGTGATTGTCACAGGTAGGGTGGCCGAGTGTTTAGGCGGCGGATTGTAGCTCCGCGGACAGAGGTTTGAGTCCTTTTTCTACCATGGCCTCGTGGTGATGATACATATCAGATTGCAAATCTGAAGACGCAGGTAAACCTCCTGCCGGGGCTTTTCCCGCCTTACCGGGTTCAACGGCGGGAAAAGTAGATGGATGCTCGCTGGCTTGGGCGCTTAGCTGTTAACTAAGATTTTGTAGGATCGAGGCCTTCCCATCTAGTAGGGCTTTAGTTTAATTAAAATATCTGATTTGCATTTAGAAGATGCGGAGTAACGTCTGTAAGTCCTATCAGAGACTAGAAGATTTTCACTTCTACTGAGAGCTTTGAAGGCTCTTGGTCTAGGTTATCCTAAGTCTCTATGTTGTTAATATTAAGATGGCTGGGGTCAGTGGTAAAAGTCCTATAGTAACAGTAACAGAGATTGTTAGGGGTAGTGAGTTTTGGGTCGTTTGTACCCGTCAGTGAGGGGCTGAATTGATAGTGTTTGGTGAAGTCGTTAATGTTATTGCATGACATAGACGTAGGTAAAAAAATAAGCTTAGGAGGGCGGTAAGCGCCATGATAGTAGCTGTGGCTGGTAGGTCTTGTTTCGTTAACTCTTGTAGGATTAATCATTTTGGTATGAATCCCGTCAGTGGGGGAAGTCCTCCCAGTGATAATATAACTAAAGTAGCAATTGCTGCCAGGATTGGGCTTTTCGGTCAGGTCGTTGTTAGGGTGTTAATTTTTGTGGCTGATAATACTTTTAAAGTAAGGAATGCCGCGGATGTTATAAAGATATATGTTCCTAAAGCAATCAGAGTAAGTTGCGGAGCGTACTGGATAACAATAATTATTCACCCTATGTGGGCAATTGATGAATAAGCTAGAATTTTTCGGAGTTGGGTTTGGTTAAGTCCGCTTCACCCTCCAATGAGAGAGGAAGCAATTCCTAGTGATGTAAGAATAAGAGGGTCAGTGGTTTGGGTCGTTTGGATAATTAATGCTATTGGGGCAAGTTTTTGTCAGGTTGACAAAATTAGTCCTGTCAACAGATCTAATCCTTGAAGAACTTCTGGTAATCAAAAATGTATTGGTGCTAGACCGATTTTGAGAGCCAATGCAAACATTATTGCTGTACTGGTGGCTGGGCCTGGTATACCTGTAACATCCCATTGTCCTGAAATTCAGGCATTTGTTGTACTTGTGAATAGAATTATTGCTGCGGCAGCAGCTTGAATAAGGAAGTATTTTGTGGTGGCTTCTACTGCCCGTGGGTGGTGTTGTTGTGCTATTAGAGGGACAATTGCTAAAGTATTAATTTCTAATCCTATTCAGGCTAAAATTCAGTGTGAGCTAGAAAAAGTTAATGTGGTTCCTAGACCTAGGCTGGATATTAAAATTATAAGGACATAAGGGTTCATTGATGAAGGAGGGACTTTAACCATCATGTTCGGGGTATGGGCCCGGTAGCTTAATTAGCTGACCTCATCCTAGAAAGTGGTGTAGTGGAAGCACTAAGAGTTTTGATCTCTTGGGCATGGGTTCGACCCCCTTCTTTCTAAGAACCGAGGGGATTTTAACCCCTATGGTTCACTCCATCAAAGTGACCCCTTAGCATTCGGGCACGGTTCTTGAGTTATGTTTGTGGGGGTAGACCAGCTAGTGCGATTGGTAGGGCGATATGTCATAGTACTAGAACTAATGTGATTGGAAGAAAGTTTTTCCAGATAAGATGCATAAGTTGGTCGTATCGGAATCGTGGGTATGATGCTCGTATTCAGAGAAACAAAATAGATAGTATTGCAGTTTTGGTTGCAATACTGATTGTTATTAGCTCAGGTGCATCTGGGGTAAACGATGCTCCTAAAAATAGTACTGTTGAGTGGGTGTTTATTAGTAAAATATTTGAGTACTCAGCCAAAAAGAATAAGGCAAATGGTCCTGCTGCATACTCTACATTGAAGCCTGAGACTAGTTCTGATTCCCCCTCTGTAAGATCGAACGGTGCTCGGTTTGTTTCTGCCAGCGTTGAGATAAATCATATAATGGCTAATGGTCATAGTGGAAGTAGAAGTCATGTGTCTTCCTGAGTTGTATTAAATGTTTGTAGGGTGTATCCCCCAGAAAAAATAACGGCAGATAATAGAATAAGTCCTAGGCTAACTTCATATGAAATTGTTTGCGCTACAGCTCGTAAGGCCCCAATTAATGCGTATTTTGAGTTTGATGCTCAACCTGATCCCAGGATTGAGTATACTGCTAGGCTTGAGATGGCTATAATAAATAAAATTCCAAGATTTAGGTCGAGTACTGGATAGGGCATGGGTATGGGTGCCCATAGCATTATTGCTAGGATTAGTGCAAGAACTGGAGCTGTTAAAAATAAAATTGGAGAAGCCATAGATGGTCGAATGGGTTCTTTAATAAAAAGTTTCACGCCATCAGCTACTGATTGTAACAGTCCTCGGGGGCCTATTACATTTGGTCCTTTTCGGAGTTGTATATAGCCTAACACTTTTCGTTCAACTAAGGTAAGGAAGGCTACTGCAATTAATACTGGTACGGCGTAGGCTAGGGGGTTAATTAAGTGGCTTGTTAAGATGTCTAGCATAAACTGGGAAAAGGATTTGAACCTTTGGGTGAAAGGGCTTAGGCCTTTTGCAATTACCGAGCTCTGCCATCCCAGCAACCCTTATTTCGGGAAGAGGTTTTAGCTCTCCTTTTATTTTTTTTATCTTTATTCATAAATTTAGGGTGGGGCGTGCTTTTAGTATGGGCCCCCTTTTTCCGATCCTTTCGTACTAGGAAAAAATAGCTTTACAGATAGAAACTGACCTGGATTACTCCGGTCTGAACTCAGATCACGTAGGACTATTAATCGTTGAACAAACGAACCCTTAATAGCGGCTGCACCATTAGGATGTCCTGATCCAACATCGAGGTCGTAAACCCCCTCGTCGATATGGACTCTTAGAGAGGATTGCGCTGTTATCCCTAGGGTAACTTGGTTCGTTGATCGGCTTATAGGCCGGATCGTCTTTGGTCAGGTGTTCTGAGGCTTAGAGATGTTTCTCTTGGTTTTAGGGCTGTGCCCGTTCCGCTTGGAGGTTGTTTTTTACTCCGTGGTCGCCCCAACCGAAGGTAGAGGTTTATCTTTTACTAGTTTAATCACTTTTATTGGTTTGCTTGATGTAAATTAAATCTTGTACCTTAAGCTCCAAAGGGTCTTCTCGTCTTGTATTATTATATCCGCTTCTGCACGGATAGATCAATTTCACTGACTTGATGGGGGAGACAGTTAAGCCCTCGTTTGGCCATTCATACAGGTCCCTATTTAAAGGACGAGTGATTGCGCTACCTTTGCACGGTCAAAATACCGCGGCCGTTAAACTATTGTCACTGGGCAGGCTGGACCTCCTATATTGGGATGTCAGGAGGCGATGTTTTTGGTAAACAGGCGAGGCTTGTGTTTGCCGAGTTCCTTCCCTTTCTTTTAGTCTTTCCTTATATGCACTCCAGTGTGGGGGTAACGATGTCTGTTGTGGATTTTTCTCAGTTTTTAACTCACATTGCCCTCTTTGTTTGGGCTCGTTAATTGCCAATGGTTTGTCCAACTTGGCTTACACTTGTGCTTGGAGAAGTACAGGTTCTTCTTGTTACTCATTTTAGCATAATTTCTTCCATATTTGTATGGATTAGTCTGGTATTTTTAGGGAAGTAAGATATTATTGTCAGAATTATGAATTTCTTCTTACCTGAGCTTTAACGCTTTCTTTTTAGGTGGCTGCTTCCAGGCCCACTACGACAACGTGTTTTGTAAATTATGATCTTTATTCTCCTGAAAAGGTTGTATCCTTTGTTAAAGGGGCTGTACCCTCTTTAACTAACTTTCGTATTTTTCTCTTAATTTTGTGTTAAATTAAATTTAATTTTTTAATTTGGGGTGTACGAAGCTGAACTTTTATTCATCTCCCAGACAACCAGCTATTGCCGGGTTCGATAGGTCTGTCACTTCTACCCGGAGCTCTTCCCACTCTATTGCCACAGAGACGGGTTGGCCCTAAGTTAAATAGGCTGTCTCGGGGTAGCTCACCTGGATTCGGGGCTTTAAACTAAAGGTCTCTTTGCCTAGTGGTGTTGGCTAAATCATGATGCAAAAGGTACAAGGTTTAATCTTTGCTTTTTATTGCTTTTACGGGTTATTTCATTTCTCTTTCAGCGTTCCCTTGCGGTACTTTCTCTATTGCTTAGTATTTTATCTTTTCTGTCTCCCATACTAGGATAATATAATGGTTTAGTTTGTGGTTTTAGGTTGATTATAGGTTATTGATGTTTTTAAGTTGATCTTGATGGTTAAGCTAGCTATTTAGCTCAGGACGATCCGATTTGCACGGATGTTTTCTCGGTGTAAGTGAGATGCTTAACTGTTCAGCCACGTCTTGGATAATGTCCAAGTGCACCTTCCGGTACACTTACCTTGTTACGACTTTTCCCCCCTTGTCTGTGCTTCTGTATTAATTATTTCTTGTGCAATTGACCGGAGGGAGTGACGGGCGGTGTGTACGCGCCTTAGAGCCGGGTTCAAAGAGACACTCTGCTTCTCTTTTACTGCTAAATCCTCCTTCAAGTATTGTTTCATGTTACATTTTCGTATATTCTGGGGTAGAAAGTGTAGCCCATTTCTTCCCATTTCATGTGCTACACCTCGACCTGACTTTCTGGGCTATGCCCATCTTGCTTACTGTTATTCCTTCACAGGGTAAGCTGGCGACGGTGGTATATAGGCTGATTTTGCTAGAAATGGTGAGGTTTAACGGGGATAATCGGTTCTAGAACAGGCTCCTCTAGGGGGATCTAAGGCACCGTCAGGTCCTTTGGGTTTTAAGCTTATGCTTGTAGTGTCCGGGCGAACATTGTTGTGATTAAATGTCTTTGTTTATGGCTAAGCATAGTGGGGTATCTAATCCCAGTTTGTTTCTTAGCTTTCGTGGGTTCAGGTAATTAATTTAAAGCTACTTTCGTGTTTGGGCCTCTAGCATCTAAAAGCGTATAACAGTTAAAGGGCCGTTTGGCTTTATTTTACATTGTTCCTTAACCACCCTTTACGCCGTAGTATATCAACTAGAGCCTCTCGTTTAACCGCGGTTGCTGGCACGAGTTTTACCGGCTCTCTTTACCTTAACTGAGTCAAGTTTTCACTTATAGCTTAATGTTTGTCACTGCTGGATCCCCTTGGGGGTGTGGCTTGGCTAGGCGTCTTGGGCTAAAAATTTTGTGCCTGATACCTGCTCCTCGTCCCCAGGTTTGGGGATTGAGGGCGTATTCACAGGGGTGCGGAGACTTGCATGTGTAAATTAGGTAAAAGCTGATCAAAAGGTCGGGACCATGCCTTTGTGCATGCGGAGCTTATTAGGGCCCATCTTGGCAGCTTCAGTGCCGTGCTTTATTTTAAGCTACGCTAGCCTTAAAAATATATTAACATTTTTAGTACTAAATATTTTTGTAAATTTTAGTTGGGGTTTTTAGGCTAAAAAACGGGCAATTAAATGACATATGTAGATATGTATATATATATATATATATAATGTCAATTTATTTTCAACTTATTGGCTGTACGTTCTCGGGCCTTCCTTGGTTTAGGGGTTTGACAAGGATAACAGGAATCGCTGGACGTAAGGGGGTAAGGGGGTTTGTCGCGCGTATACCAAAAGGGGGAGATAATAATATATAGTTTATCAAGGAAATAATAAGTACTTTATGCACTTGAATTAAAAGTTAGTGAGTCTTAATATTATGTCTTTAGATAATTAATATATATTATCACATGCAAGGAATAGTACCACCTTAATTTAACATTTATATTTGCACTATGAAATGCCAGCGAAAGGAAAAAAATAAGAGATCACCCCTTGTATATACAAGAACGCTCGGCATGGGGAGTAAAGGACTAAATGATTAACACATCTGACTAATCATATGCCGTTTACCACTAGATTGTGGGTGGGTCTTGTAGCGATGAACGTGAGATTTGAACCAGATACCAGGAATAGTTCATTTTTTAACAACGTTTAAATTGATGTCCCTGATTCTATCATGCATGATATGCATTTATATAAATTATTGGTGGTCTCTCACTTGATATGGTGAATAATATAAACATTATGTACCTGCTTTATGGTTAAAATAATGATATGGTGATAATACATAGTATGTCCTAATACATGCATAATATGTAACCAGTACATACATGTGACAAAGCACATACGTGTGTATCCACACATATGTATATGCTTGCACATGCATATGTAAAAATTAGAGCATGCATTTTATGTATGATTAATGTATCAATACAGTGCATGTCTGTCTTAATTGTAAATTACTAAAACATTGACATATAAATTGTCGCCGGCCGT